CCCATAGCCCGGTTTCACTAATTGTCAGGATTTTGACAATCTTATTTCATCTATCTGGTCTCTCCACCCCTTTTCTGTTTTTATTTTTGCTGGAATGTCTGAAGGCAAATCTCAGGTTTCCCATAATTTCTCCCATAAATATTTCAGTATGAGTCTCTAACAAGATAAAGACATTTTAAAATGTAATGATAATGCTCTGATTATATCCAACAAAATTTATAATATTATGGAGAGTCAGGTTCCAGCTGTATCTCAGCTGGCCTTGGATAAGCAGTCTTATTATATAAGATTTCCTAAGGTCTTTTCAGGGCAATCAGCAAAAACTTTTCATTTTGACATAAATTCAAGCCCACAAAAGATTTGTAAGAATAGCACAAAGAATTCCCATATACTTTTCCATCCGTGTTTCCCAGATGTTAGCATCTAACCATATTGGCTCTGTCTTTGTTCCATATCTGTATCTATAATCCATCCCCCCCTCCCCAAATTGTTACTGTGTTACAGACATGATGCTTCTTTGTTGGTAAAAAAAGTCTTACATAACTGCAGTACAACATGAAACTCAGGAAATGGGCCTTGATATGATTCTGTGAAATAATCTACAGACTTTATGGAGTATTTTCCCCACTTGACACATATGTCCTTTAAAACAGAAGAAAACTTGAATGATGCCAATTGTCATGTGTTTTCATTGTTCTTTAACCTAGATGTGTTCCAGAATCTCTGTGTTTTATAACATTAATTTCTTTGGGAGCTTCTGCTCAGCTATTTGGCAGCATGTTCCTTCATTCAGGATTTATTTAAAGTTGATTATTTAATAGTTTCTCGTAATATAATTTCAATTATGCTTTCTTGGTAGAAAGACCTCAGAAGTGATCTTTTTTGTTTGTTTTTTCTCTTTTGTTTTTGTGGTGCTGGGGGCTTGAACCTGAGATACTCAACCACTGAGCTATAACCATAATCCCTTTTATTATTTTTATTTTGAGACAGAGTCTCACTAAGTTGCTGAGGCTGACCTCAAACTTATGATCCTCCTGTCTCAGCCTCCTGGGTTTCTGGGACTGCAGGTATCCACCAATGTGCCTGGCTCAGAAGTGATCCTTCCCAATTCATCATTGAGCTGTCCTATTATTACTGTCAATATTGATCACTCTGTGAAAGTGGAATCTGCCAGCTTGCTCCACTGTAAAATTACTAGTTTTCCCTTTGTAATTCAGACAATGCAAATATCGTACTGCTTTTCAAACCCCTTCTTCTGGGATTTTCGTATTCAGTTATGATTTTTATCTGGGTCAATACTTATGATGTTGGTAAAATGGTTATATTCTAAGTATAGACTTTCTTGCATTTGTTAGTTGGAGTTCTATAAGGAAGAATTTTCTCTCTCCCGAGTTTATTTATATCAATTTAAATAAGCAAGACTCTTGAAATTTAATTTTTTTWAAAAATAGGTTGCAATCCTTTACTTTCACTATTTATTTCGATGCTCAAATTCTCCAAGATTTAGCTAGTAGGAATCCCTTTAAATTGGCCCCTGTGCCCTTTTGATATGTCCCTATCATTCTTTGATCTTCTCTTTACTTTCTGGAATGAAACAATGGTATAGGTTCATCTCATTCTTTCTACCATGCCCCATTTCTCTAAGTAGAGAAACGGCTTCTTTTGGCAGAGTGGTACTTAAGGACCAAGATCTGATTGCTAGGTGAGCTCATCACGACCGGGGTGTCACTACTTACAGGCTCTCTCAGTAAACAGACCTGGAAAACAGATGCTAATATACATATCTATCTGTCAATCTCTCTCTCTATCATTTATCATCTATCTATACTATGATGACTTTTGTGGTCTTATGTTAAATTTTTTCTAATTCAACACTACGGGGTTCTTTCTCTTCTCCTTTTTGTAACCACTTTCTCAGGGAGAAATCTGTCTTCCACAGGCTCTAAGATGTTTACTTATATGCTCAATTCTTGAATATTCAGGAAGTATTTTCAGAATTGTTAACCTAAATGATGGAAGAAAGCTGAACTCCAATTAAATATTTGTTCACATTCTTTTTGTCTATGGCCTGGGGACAAAGCAATCTAAATACTGTGTTCAAAYATTAACAGGTTACTTTTTTCCCCCTGGGTATTTGTGTTATTCAAAACTCTTCAGTCTGAAATATTTTTCTGTTAATTTGTTTCTGTTTGTATTCCTTCTTAGGGTTTTTCCCTCTCCTTATTGATCTTGCTTATTTTAAGCATATGAAACATGAACATGATTCTTTAAGCCAAACTATTCAAAGTTATGTTCAGAGAAGTAGCATCCCCCATCACAGTTTTTCCATCCCATTCCCACCAAAATCCCATAGGTAGCCAATCTTCATAGCTCCTGGTTTATTCTTCTGTTGTTTAATTTTGCACAAATAAGCAGGTAGATACACATTTCTCTATTTCCCTTTCTTTCTTACACAAAAGGTAGAAAACTATGCATACTATGGATTTTCTCTTGCACTATCAAACAACATTTTAAAGCACCTCAGATGTGTGCTGATTTTGTTCTTGCATTTTCTTATCATTTTCAATATRTCCCTGACACCCTGTGACTTAGGAGGCCCTTGGAATTCTAAATTCACTGAGGTGAAACCGTATCAAAAAACCAAGACAGGTGTTGAATTTAAGAACAGGCCTTTGTCCTCTGCTGGACAAGCATTCTGAACCAAGAATCCTAGCAGCAGCCCCAAACCCAGCACAGATGGAAAGCGCCACACCCGAGCCCAAGATTGTTGTTTAAGGAACAGTTAGTCTCTCAGCCAGATGTCCTTTCCTGTTAACAGAGCTGGGTGCCCAGAAACAAAATAACCAGGGTCTGGAACGAGCAGCTTCATGGATTTTTGTAAATTTTCAGATATAAAAGAAAAGTCAAGCAGGCAGCTTTTCTACACAAAGCTGCCACTGTCACTTGAACATAACTTTGCTTGGCCTGCACACAGCCTGGTCCTCCTGGGAGAGGTCCCGGGGAGAAGGAAGGCTTTAGGGACCTGAGCTTTTCCTGGTGGGTAACAGGATGCACCTGTTCAGAGCTCCAGGCTGCCGGCTGTAAGGAACAGCTGTTTTTCTTTTTCGTTTTTCCCAGCCAGAATAAGCTAGATTTAGAAGGAAAGGAAAGGAAAGGTGGAAGGAGAGGGGAAGGAACAATTTCCCACCTGTTCATTTATTTTTCAGGAGTTCTTCCAGGAACTCAGAAGTGTTGGAAAGAACCTGAGTAGAATTTACGTCAGTTAACTTAAGAGTTGGCATGGCTCCTGGTGTTGACAAGCCTGCCTGCATCCAGCTAGGACGGACCCCAAACAAAGGATGCAATGGAGGCAGGGACCACCTCCCACCCTACCATCCCAAGCTTTATCCAGATACAGATGCGGCTAACAAATTGTGAAAAATATGTATATAACTCAGTCAGACGAGACCAGACCAATTCAGWGGGGACTTTGTCCTGCTCAGATGACAGAACAATTATCTGCTCAGAAGTCTAGCTAAGGACAAAGAACTGTAGAGAAACTGCTGTTCCTGGCTTCCATCTTAGGAAGCCAGGACGGGCTGAAAAGTGTTCAGGACTCCTCTCATCCCCTGTCCCTTTGTATGACCCAGTTCCAGAGAGCTCAGCAGACCTAGAAGTCCCCTTGTTGTGAGTTCCAGATCCAGCTAGCATCCTAGAGTTCATAAGCATATGAAACACTAACATGATTTCATATGCAGTAGAGGAATTGTGAATCCTATAAATCTGAGTATTCTGGACCTTCTCCCTGGCCCCTAGCATGCACATGAGTCCCAAGTCCACCATAAGTAAGAGTGTTCCTTCCAGGAGCTCTAGGTCAGCAGGATGAATAGATGTCCTTCCTCCTTTTGCCAATGGTGACAGTCCATAGGTAGCCATTGCCTTGGGGAGACACTTGTTTCCCTAACTGCTACTCCAAAGACTGTGGGTTATAGTAGAAGGAGGCACTGACTTTAGATTTATAGCCTCTTCAGCAAATCTGGTCTCTGCAATTCACAAAGATGACTTAACCTTAATGGGCTCATGTGGAAAAAGGGGAACATGAAAATAACATTATCTACCTTCCAAGAAATTGACAAGCATTGGTAAAATAACTTTGACAATGGGTGCTGCAGGAACTACGGACTATTCTTTAAAACTATTTACTACACAAACAGTACAGGTGGGGAGTGGGAGAGGTGGGCAGCATTTCTCACCTGGTGCAGCAAACCCAACCCCAGAAATTCATCAAGCACCCACTTTGTGTCCAGTTCAGAAAACATKGAAGGCGAGGTTGCTGCCTAACCCTAGAAACAGGAGGGAAAAAGTGCAACATTTAGGAAAAGTGAAGTCAGCAGGACATGGGATATTCAGACAGATCTTCGTGGAGAATGTGATGTGAAAACTGAACGTTGAAGGGCAACCATGATCTGGTGAGGCCCAGAGAGAGAGGGAGTCTTTGCAGGCGTTTGTTATCATCTTTTGGGTAAATTATGATAAAAACTTTGGTGGAATTGATTTTGCACTGCTACATTAGCCATTTATAAGAGCTGAACTTTGCACTTTAGACCATGTATTTGAAGATGTAGGAGTGGTAGAAAAGATTGCAGAGGGCTGCTCTGTGCCCTTGACCTGACCACTGGAGGCAGTGGTCAAGGGGGAACAATAGCTCTGAATCCCCTCCTGGACCACAGGAAAATATTTGCCATGGATGTCATGAAAAAGACTGGGATTGGGGGGGATTGGAAAGAACTCATGGTTAATGAGCACCCAGAAGGTTCCAGGATTGCACTGAGCTCCTCACAATGGCCTCATGACATTGACGTTAGTGATGACATTTCACTAATGAGGAAGGTGAAGACTTGGATGGTGGCTCAGAAAGTCTCACAGAGACAGGATTTGGACACTTTGAAAATAAATGAATACCAAGGGAGGACGAACACCTTGCAGGGACTTTATGGCAGGGTATGCTTTGGATTTCACAGGTGTGTCCATGGAAGCCATTCTGAAACTCTTTGGAGAATACTTCTTTAAATTCTGTAAGATGTCTGGCTACGACAGAATGCTGAGGACCCTGGGAGGAAATCTCACGGAGTTTATTGAAAACCTGGATGCCCTCCACAGTTACCTTGCACTCTCTTACCAGGTAAGACCACCTGGGCCTGGTAATCTTGGTGATCCTGAGAAGAAGCAAATTCTGAGCCATCTCCTCCCTCCCTGCAAAGAAGAGTGGGTGGAAGGGAACTGCTGCTTGTCTGTTGCATGCAGAACCCTTGGTCCCTGGTGCAAGAGTTCTCATGGGAAAGAAAAGGAAAATAAATACCTGTTGGCCACCTTTATAAACTGCCTGGCCAAAAAAGAGAGGGGGGGGGTACAGTTTTTGTGATGAGGGAAGGCCTCTGCAGTAGAGCTGGCTTGGAATTCAATCTAGGAGGCTGATCACAATGGCAACAAAGACTGGAAAACAATCAGGTTTCAGTGGATTTGCAAAATCTCTCCTAAGGTTTCCTGGTCTGGATGGAGCTGATAAATAGCTTATGCAGCCAGATTCGTGTTATTCAAGTATCAGGAGGAAAGACTCGACAGGGCCAAGAGCCAGAATCGGAAACCATSCAACTCTGATTAACCCATGGGGTGACTGACGGAGGTGTTAAGAAACTAATTTCCCTTCTGGGATAGGTCCTTCTGGAGTTCGTGCCTTGCTTTTCTTCTTTGGAGAGATCATTGGAAATTCAAATGCCTAGACCCCCCCCCCCCACCACCACCTTTTTTTTTTTTTTTTTAGACAAAGTATTTTATGGAAACGATCAAGTAGCATTTCACATAGCATGATAACAGTTTCTTATTTTATGTAAAATATTTTATTTTTAGGACACCTTTACTTTACCAACCTCGTCGCTATTTCTAGACTTAGTGTTCATAGTGACAACCTTTGCAGGGTTGTCGTGAGGATAAAAGCGTTATGTATTTTAAAGCACGTCACTATTATGTGCACTTGTACGTATCTGTAAAATTGGGGAAAAAAAGGTTATTTTCTCTATATTTTGAATAAGTAATCAGAGGCTTGGAAACATCCTACTTCAGGAAGAGTGAGTTTGTGAGCCTGTTCTATTGTTGTCACATGAACTTCTTGAGGTGGTGGGAGTGGAAAGAGTCTGGGCAATGAGGCCAGATGTCACTGTCTGAGCAGAACTGTGACTTACCAGCTGTGTGATCCTGGGCAAGTTGTTGCCCACTTATTTATTTAATTAAATTTATTTAATTAGCACCTAGTATGTACTAAACAATTTTTAAGTCATTAGACACAAAGACAAAAAGGAATAGGAATAAATAACCTACCTCATAGAGTTGTGCAGATTAAAAGAGAGAGCATATAAAAGTCCTTAGCGTTATGATGGGCTCAGAACAGGCATTTCATAAGCAACTCTTCCTTCTCCTTTTCTTTCTTTCTGTTCAATAGGAACAGTTTTAAAAGTCTGAGAATTTGCATGGCAACTTTCTATCAGGTTTCTTAGCTAAAGGCACAACTATTAGAATAGAAAGAAATACAATTAGGATCCTTTAATAAACTTCCATAATATTTYTAATGTCACCTGAAATTTGGTTAATATATTGAGTCATGGTTCTGGAGGTGTCAATATTTAATTTATTTATTAAATAAAAATATTATGGAATGTTTTTACTGTTTCAGATATTGTTTCCTTGATATTACTCTCACTTTCATGAATGAGAGTGAAAGGAATTGAGATTCTGAAGTCCCATGGCTGTGATTTTTATACCCAACACTGATACCCTTCCTATACTAGTTAACCACCTCTTACCCCACATATGCCAAAACCATACTAATAGAGAAGTCTTAGACTAGAACCTCTCTGGGGTATGTCAGGACATTTAGCCTATAATCGAATAAATAAAATATTAAATTGCTATAACACACAAGTTAGGATGAACTTTATGCAATGATACCTGATAGCTATATAGTGGTTTATACTAGACAAAGGATTAAAGATTGTCTCTTTAGGCAAAAATAAATAAAATGATTCCAACTTTAAGGAACACATCCCTGGTTAAAACTGTGCCTTTAGTCTTGTTATTTTTTAGCTAACCTTCATTGACTGGTAATTATTGTGCTAAATGAACTGTCCTCTTAACGCCTGTAAGATTAAGCACTCTTATTTTCCCCTCTATAAGAAAACTGAGGCCCAGAAGGGTCAAGACACTCTCCAAACTCACCCATACTGTGGGTGGTTGAGCAATAACCTACACCCAGCCACATCTGTCTGAAAAAGGCCTTGCTTTCGGCTGCTTGGCATCATTTTTTCCTTTGCCTTATTCTCCATTTTTAAAAAAATGTTTTATGTTAATCAATAAGTAAAACTATAACTGCATTATTTAGAAACTTGGAGACATCAACCATAAGAACCAAAAGCATGAACTTCTGGAAATGTCTGGGAAGAGGTCTGGCTTGGAGATGGCTTCAGGGGGATGTTGGCAGGAGCACGTGAATCTCTATTTCAGCCCCTCTGTACTGAATTGCTTTACTTTCACTGTAGAATTTGGATATAGTTTTTAAATGAACTTTTAATTTCCTCTTTATGCATACTTCATCAAATCCTCTTTAGATTTGGTAAAGATATAATAAACACACATACATACCAACAAATGTTTTTATCTATATACWTACTTTTGGGAATATGGAAATTTATTTGGAAAGGGAAAAAAAAAAACATTTTAACTAGCAACCCTCTACTAGGAAACAGGACAAAGACCTCATAAAAARCACATCCACCTTCTTCATCTCATCCCTCTCTGAGACCAAAAGCTGTGAGTCCAGGGTGCTGAGTTGCCTGCTAATCAAGCAGGAGAGCGGGGCATGGTAGCACATGCCTGTAGTCCCAGAGACTCGGGAGGCTGAGGCAGGAGGATCTCAAGTTCAAAACCAGTCTTAGAAATTTGGGAGGCTGTGAGCAATTTAGCAAGACCCTGTCTCGAAGTGAAAAATTAGAAGAGGGTGGGGGAAGCAGGAGAGACGGTTGCTTCTGTCAGAGAATTCTCCAGGCAAAGTGTGTACCTTTCATTCCCAAGTATCTCACCTTCATGAGATTGGGCATACGTGAATGTCAACACTTACTCCTGAAGAAAGAGAAGTTTTTCTGATGTCTCCCTCAGGGTTCTGTTTTCCAAATGTGCGATTTGATACCACAGCAAGAAACTCATTAATTCATTTCACTTGCAGATTCCTCTGAGCCCCTGATCTTTCTGTGGGTGAAGAGGCCCTTGGTCACTTAGTCACAGGCCAAGGTCTACAGAGACTCACAGAGGCCTCCTGGTGCCTTCTGGCCAGCACCCGTTGGAACGCAGCTGGAAGAGGCCTGGCACATGACAAAGGCTCAATCTGGGGGTGGTCCATTGTTCTACTGTTCATCTAGGTTTAACTTCCTTGGTCCTCAGGCTCCTCCTCTTGAAAATGGAGACAACAGTTGCCATAAAATGCTATTTAGGGAATTGGGTACAGAAGGAAATTCCTGACACATGGGAGCTGAGAAACCGTGGTCGGTATTGTGTGACTGGAAAGAGGCCGGGATATAGTTCTGCATGCTATGGTGGAAAGTCCTGTTCCCAGAGCCTTGACGTCATAGCTTAAACAATTTATTTTCCCTGGGAAGAAACGTGTTGTGTCTTCTAATTAGGAGATGAACGCACCATCGTTTCGTGTGGAGAGAGGGGCCGATGGAGAAATGCTTCTGCATTACTACTCGGACAGGCRTGGTCTGTGCCACATCGTGCCAGGTAGGCAGTGGCTTAGTTCTGAGGCCTCTGGAGGAAGGAAATCTGCCCACAAACTCTCCAGGACAGCCACGAGCCAGATGTGGGCTGGGAGCTCTGTCCCTTCTCCTATCTGATTCCATGTCATCTTGATCATTATTTCCAAAGCCCTCRAGCTTTTAAAATAAGTTTCCAAAATGCCAAAAGAAAGAATAATTTTTATTTTTTGTTGAACATTTTGAATTATGCAGGTGTTTACATAATTATGATATTTATATAGATACTATTTTGTATTGGCTCTTTCTAAAAAAAAATTGAGCATGGTAGAAAAAGCATGCTTCCATGTTTTCACATAGCCACGTCTTAAATGGATGGATGATATTGCATATTGTAGTTATCTTAGCTAGCCCTCTATTGCTGCATTTTTCATCAATACTAATCTTTTGCTATTGTAAACAAGACTGTGATGAACATCTTCACACATCCTTTCTCCACACTGTGTACTTTAACCCTGGGATAGATTCCCAAAGAAAACTTTGCAAACATGATTCTTAATGCTTTTACAACCGAATTTTGCTTACATTATTTTTAGTTTGTTTGTTTAAGGAGGTTACATGCCTTCCTGAAATAAAAACCAAACGAATAGATGCTGAACTAGAAATGGGAACAGCAGGATATATTTGGTATCCAGGCATGGACAAATTAAATCTCTAAGTACTTCTATTTTACTCATCTGTCATATGCTGTATGTCTTGAGACAGGTCCTGGGCTTTGTGAACCCTGGAAAATTCATCAGAAGTTGTATGACTTGATTTTTGGTTGATGTTTGTTGACACACTGCCTTCTGCCATCCCTAACTGCTAAGTGTCCTTCTGCTGCAGGTATCATTGAGGCTGTGGCTAAGGACTTCTTTGACATGGACGTGACCATGGATATCCTTGATGTGAATGAAGAAGTGGAGAGGACAGGGAAAAAAGAGCATGTTGTGTTTCTGGTTGTACAGAAGACTCGCAGGCAGACTAGAAGGGCAAAACCAAACGGGTTGCAGGATGGTGAGGACATCAGAAGAGAGCAAGAGGTACTGGGTTTGTGGCGTATTCAGAAAGCAAAATTCTCCCAAGTAGAGATACCGGTCTTGGCACAATCTATGCAAACAACACAATCAACTGGACCTTCTAATAGTGGAGTTGAGGCAGGGTGTTTTTTGTTTTTGTTTTTGTCATAGTGGAGATTGAATCCATGGACTCACACTTCTGGTAAGCACTCTGCCACGGAGCTACATCCCCAGTACCTTATTTTATTTTATTTTGAAACAGTTGTCACTAAGTGGCTCAGGCTGGCCTGGACCTGTGATCCTCCTGCCTCAGCCTCCTGAGTAGCTGGGATGGCARGCCTGTGCCACCAGGCGCAGAACTACTGAACTTTTGGATTATAAAGTTCTTTGTTGTGATGGGCTGTCCTCTGCATTACAGGATGTGAAGCAGCTTCCCATGTCCACCCACTAGATGCTAGTAGAACCCTGCCTTCTCCATTGTGGCAACCAAAAGCCTCCTGGCATTACCAATGTCCCCAGGGTGGGTGTGGAGAACTGCTGGGTTAAGTTTAACTGGATATCAGAGACTCTCTGCCATGCACCTTCGCCTGGAAAAAATGTTCACCCATAAAAATGCCAGGATAAAGGTTTTGAAGTTTGGCTTACTTTACAATCCTCCTAAAATAAGCTGACTTCACCTCCTCAATGCTAGTCACAGACCCAAAGTCCACTCAAATTCTGTGCTTGGTCACCTCAACTGCAACTCATRAGATGATCATTGCCAGTTTAGGTACCCTATATATTAGGAGAACAACTCTCTCTGTCCATGTAGCTGGTACAAATATCCAGATAAGTCTGTGATTCCGGAAGCACACAGTGTTTATGTCTCAGGGCATTCAAAGCCCATCTCAGGGTTTACTGCAGAGTCTTCAACCACAGAAAGTCAAGATGTTGCATGTGATTTTCCTGCCAGATATCACCCTGGTCTCCTCTTGAGATGTGAATCGTTCTTGCTGCCTTTGGTAGAGAAACAATATGAGGATTAACTAGATTTWAAAAAAAAAAATCTTGGTAGCATTGATGTCACAAACCTCGCACTGTCCCACTGGCCATGGACACTGTTCTACTGTAAAGATGGGCCCCATCACAGCAAATGGGGCTGTGCCTCTCCAGTCATGTGACTGGGCACCTGTGCTTCTCTCTCTGCAGGCTCTTCAGGCAGCTTTCCTTAGGATGAAGGAAAAATATTTAAGTGTCTCTGTTTGTCCTGTGAAGAAATCCAACTGGGATGTTGTGAGAAGTATAGTCACTTTTGGAAAAGGTAGGTGGGTGTGCTCCCAGCCTGGGCTCTTAGATCAGAAAGACTGCCTGGTTCCCAGGGGAAGCAGCCTCCATGCACAAATGGGACCAAGTTCTCTGTGATTGATGCCCCCTGATTTCTGCAGAGCTTAGATTTAGTGGTCAGATTTTTTTTTAACTTTAAAATATCATACTAACTTGCTGTCCATTGGGTAATACTATACATCTGGATAATACACAGACATCTCTCCTAAGCCGCTGGAGGGAGGATTGGAATTAGTACCAACTGGTGACTGCTGAGGAGGAAGACGGATAGAGGCTGAGTTATTGTCAAGAACAACGGGGTTTCCTTAACTCCTCCTCTGGATCCAGGCCTTCTTGATTGGTACACGTTTCTGGGCTGGAAATCTGTGGATAATAACCATGGTCATCCAGTAATGTAAAGGACACTGGATCAAGAGCCAAGAAAGATTTCTGGCTTTGTCCCTGAGGAGCTATATGACCCTGGATAAGGTCCTCAATTTTCCATTTGCAAAATGAGTGTAGTAGGCTCTCTCTGGCACTCCCATGGGTACTAAGCCAGCCTAACAACCGGCACCTAATGCCAGAGCTGGAACAAGGGCTCCGATCCACAGTAAGAATGGAGCTAGATGCTCCTCGTCATGACCTCAGGGTCAGGTGACATGCATCTGGGAGAAGGTCTGCAGGGCTCAAAGAACTGCATTTTGAGTCCTTCAAGCCGTGGCAAATGAGTCAAACATGCAATTGACATCCTTTGTCTAGGAGATTTTCATATCAAAAAGGCTCCATTTCGAATCTCTACCCCCTGCCAAATAGGACTGTTGGTTAAATTTTCATGTGCCACCCAAAACTGTCAGTCTAAAAAGCTCCATGGCAAATGTCCCTGATGCTGGGCCGGGCACACTCATTGTCTGGCTGTCACCATTTCAATGCCGACTCTGTTTTCATGGTGAGACACACTCAATTGGCCCAGTAACTCTTGAGYGGCGGGCAGAAACTTGGCAGGGGGCAGAAGGGTTTCTCAACCTGGTAGCAAGTTTTCTGTTTGTTTTAATTTGGAAGAAGAATTGCTGGGGCCATCTGGAGACGCCGAGGGAGCCTGGGCTAAAGAGTGGGGATCACACTTTGCCTGTGAAACACTTAAGATTCTATCCCCGTCCTGAGCTGGGCTCTGTGCGAGGGCCACAGCAGGAGCTGCTTCTCATTAGGACTTTCTCTTTCTGTGTCCAGGGCACCTCAGGGACACCTTCGAGCCCATTTATCCTGAGAGTCTCTGGATTGAAGCAAAGACGTTCTGTGAGGCTTTTCCTTTCCACATTATCTTTGATGAAGCAGTAAGAGCACTATTCCCTCTTGGGGTTGGGAATAAGCCAGGGAAGCGGGGGTGGGGGGGGGTGGGGGGGGAGGGTGGTGATTTATAGTCTTAGGAGACTTTTAAGTTCCCAGGGTTTTTAGCCTGGCAGAACCATTGTCTTGGATTCTGGTTGTGGCATCTTCTGGAAACTGGGATTCAGGATCATCTAGGTAGATATGGAAAGGAGGTTTGAACTAGTGAATGAATGGGAAAGTTTACCATTCAAATAAATAAATGCAAAAAGAAGTGACGCTAGCATTCACTATGCACACAGACATCAGTAGCAACATTGGGTGATTCTAAGCATCATCTCCCACCATCCTTGGGACCACTCTCAATGTCTCAGTCCTACCATGCTTGACTTCCTGCATCTTAGTTGGGGAGAGGTCTGTGCCGGTCTCCTGCCATGTTTTGAGGGGGTTGTGAGCATGCCTTTTAAGTTTGATTGTTAGAAATTTCTCTGGATAAATTGATTCTGGATAAATCAGAATTGATTGTGAATTTAAAGGACAAGTAGGCAAATTGATTTGACCCCAAAAAAATCAGTGAAAATGCTTTTCAGCTGTTGGGCATGTTGGCATATGCCTGTATTCCCAGTGGCTTGGGAGACTGAGGCAGGAGGATTGTAAATTCAGAGACAGCCTCAGCAACTTAGCAAGGCTAAGCAACTTATTGAGATCCTGCAAACAAACAAAAGGGCTGGGGATGTAGCTCAGTGGTTGAATGCCCCTGAGTTCAATCCCTAGTACAAAAATAAATAAATAAAGATCTTAAAAAAGGCTTTTTAGCCACTTTGATTTTCTCTGATAATTTATTGCTACCAATAGACATATTAAATCATCATCACCTACCAGTTGACTTCTAAATACAGAGTCTATGAAGCGTACTCATTTGAGTGGACTCGTCATTCACAAAGAAATTGTGAATTCACTGAGTTAAAAAAATACCCCTATATGAAACAACCTGGTGATTATAAAGTAATGAACCTTGACTTTTCTCCAGTGTCATAAAGCATAATTCTTCTTATTATTATTACTACCACTATTAATATTTTAAATTCTGGTCTATTTAGAAACCCCCTTTCTTTTTAAGTTTTGGGTGTAGAATATATACAAGTTCATGATACATGTGTGAAAAGATGAGGCCGATTTCTATCACCTAGTAGATTCCCTGTGGTTAGTAAAGCTACATGTCCCTGAACACTCTGCTGCATTGGACATTTTATGTAAAGGATACCCATTTTACTGCTCCCTTCTGAGTGTTCTCTGGAGACAGCAAGATGTGTCTCCACCCCTTCAATAGACTCCTTCACCAGGCCTGGGTGTCAGATCCAGTGCTACAAAACTTGCTAGTTGCTTTCTTAGTGAGTGAGACAGAAGGACCCAGAGAGGTCTTAGAGAGTGAGGAAAGGACTACTGGGTCCAGTTGAGAGCCTTGTGTACCTGTTTTTTTGTTTGTTTGTCTGTTTGTTTTTTGTTGTTGTTGTTTTTCTGCTGAGCCTTCCTTTCCTCTTGCCTCCCTTCCAGCCATGAGCTACAAATTTGATTAAGAAAAACTATCTGTGATGTTTATTCCATTACAGACCCCCTTTTCTCCCCAGCGAGTCACAAAGCAAGGCCAAACGTTATTTCTAAAGGAAGGTTTATGGTGGAGGTTCCTTTGTGTTCCCCAGTCTGACATCTCTCCTCTGTGGATAGCTGAGGGTCAAGCAAGCCGGAGTGAATATTCAGAAGTATGTCCCAGGACTCCAAACCCAGAAGATCCGATTAGATGAGTATTTCTCCATCGTTCATCCTCAAGTTACCTTCAACATTTCCAGCATCTGCAAATTTATCAACAGTCAATTTGTCCTGAAGACACGAAGAGAAAGGATGCCGGAAGCTTGGAAAGATCAGCCCACACTCAAACTCCGTGGTAACAACTCGCTCCAGCCCTTTGCTCCCTGCGGGTTTGGGGGGTGATTGGTCAGAAAGGGAAGAGGCCAGCCAAGTTCCCAATCTCCCAAAATCTGGGCAGGGACTATGGTTGAGTGCAAGTTTTTTTTTTTTTTTTTTTGGACATTTCTATTTAGCTTTATTTTTCAACAATATATTTCCTCAACTGTTTCTGGTTTAGACGTAAATGGAATACACAAGCACGCGTGCACGCACGCACACACACACACACACACACACACACACACACAAGCTTCTAGTGCCTCTTTTTTTCCCATTTCCTGGCAATCACCTCTGGTCTGTGGTTTATAGAAGTAGAAGAGCATACCATCTTTGTCCCTTTGTGACTGGCTTATTTCACTGACATGTCCTCAACGTCTACCCATGTTGTTCCATGTGTCAGAATTTCCTTCCCTCTTCAAGACTGAATCATATTCTGTTGTAYGTATACACATTTTCCTTATCCATTTATCTGGCTATTGAATGACCACATTTGGCCATTGTGACTAATATTACTGTGAACGTGGGTATGTAAATGTCTCTTTAAGTCCTTATTTTCTTTTTCTGTTTTTGAGTCTACCCAGAAATGAAATATGATCCAGAAACATATCACATGGATTGTGATTCTGTTTTTATTTATTGAGGAACTGCCATACTGGTTTTTGTAGACAGGGCACTATTTTCCATTCTCATCAATGACTCACAAGGGGTCCAATTTCTTCACCTCCTCATGAACACTTATTATTTTCTGTCTTTTTTAAAATAATATCTATCATAATGCATAAGAAGCGATCTTATATAGCCTTGTTTTGCATTTCCCTAATGATTTATAATATTGAGCATCTTTTCGTGTGCTTATTGGACATTTCTACATATTCTTTGGAGAAATGTCTGTTCAAGTGTTTTGTCTATATTTAATTTGGGTTTCTTTATATATTCTGGATATGAGCCCCTCATCAGATATATGACTTGCAAATATTTTCTCCCACTCTGTGGGTTGCCCTTTCATGCTGTTGAGTCCTTTGGTGCTCAGAAGTTTTTAATTTTGATGTTGTTCAATTTCTCTTGTTTCTTTTTCTGCTTGTGTTTTTGAGGTCACATCCAAGAAATTATTGTCATATCCAATGTCATTTCCATTTCTTTTCTTATTATTAATGCACTGATTAGGCTGAGGTTCCCATAACCCAATCATTACATCTCTGAACTTTCTCGAACTGTCTCCCACAGGAGCCTTGTGGAAACCATTACACAGTATAATGCTAGAGGATTCCAAGACCAACCCCGGGGGAATGCCAACCTTTAAGGAAGGAAATTTAAAAAACAAAATCCTAGAGGGAAGATTCAAAGAAGTAAGGGGAAATTTTATAGAGAAAGCCATGTCAGAAATCCTCAAGAAAAGGAAGTTCAGGTTAATACCAAGAGAAGAGTGAGTAAAGATGAGACTGAGGCTTGTGTTGGAGCTGGCAACTTAGAGGCCATGAATGAGCCACCTCAAAGGTAGAGAAGCAACCAGAGAGAGCAGTTGTGGAGAGAAGGGAAATGAGGTAGTGGACACAGGAGTATGGATCATTCTCAAGACGTCTGGCAGAAAAGGCAGGAATATGGCTATGACAGTGGCTAGAAGGTAGTCAGTGTGGGTGAGGCTTACTTCTCTGGAGGACTCAGCTAACCCACCTTGGAGATAGACTGTGTTTCTGCCTTTCTCTCCGTGACGTAAAGGCCAGATGATCTGGATGGAGTCCCTGCGGTGCATGATATTCCTGTGCTCTCCGAAGCTCCGCAGTCTGCAAGAGCTGGAGGAGCGCAAGATGCATCTGTCAGACATTGCCCCCCACGACACCACCAGGGATCTCATCCTCCTCAACCAGCAGAGGCTGGCGGAGATGGAGCTGTCCAACCAGCTGGAGAGGAAGAAGGAGGAGCTGCGAGTCCTGTCCAAGCACTTGGCCATAGAAAAGAAGAAGACAGAGACCCTGCTGTATGCCATGCTGCCCCAACACGTGGCCAACCAGCTGAAGGAGGGCAAAAAGGTGGCCGCAGGTAGGGCATCCCTTCACGGGGACCTCAGGGCAGGGGAGAGTGTGCCTTCAGGGTTGAGGACGTGGGCTTTGAAGCTGAGCAGATCTGGGGTTGAATTCTACTCCATCCCTTGTAAGTGGCACCATCTTGGGTCCATTGCTTAGCCTGCATGGCCTCAGTCTCTCCCCTCGACACTGAAAATAAGAAAAACCACACGAGCGTGAAATGTGGAGTAGAGAAAAATGCTTGTTAACAACGTGCACATTTATTAGGTTCTCTAAGAATTTAGTCTGTGTCCTGAGACTGGTCTCATTACTCAGAGACCAAAAGTAGGGTCCTTAACTATAACAGGAAATAATACATCCACCCATTAACTGAAGCAGGGGGTACCTTTGAGGACCATTCTGGAGGGAGGAATGATGTGTTTGCTCTGAACTCACTTTTCATTTGTCCGGTGTGTGTTCCTTCACAGCCATGCCCAGTGAGCTTAGTGCCCTGGGCTGTACCAGATCCAGGGGCCCCAAGGAGTTCCCAGCCTTTGGGTTTGACAGATATGTGTAGAATATATTAATGGGATGGGACTGGCTAATGGAAAGGAAGTGAATGTGCAATAAGAAGTAATTATTGTGCCAGGAACCGTGTTAGGTATTTTACACCTGCTGTTTGTTGAACCTGTTCTACGTTTCTCTAAGGGAGGTGTCATCCTTTCTGTACAGCTGAGCACGTTGACCTTCAGCCCAGCTTATGAGTTGGAAACGCATCGTGTTCAGTCTGTCTGATTCCAAGAACCATACTCGTTCCTCTACAAGCTCTTTCCAGGGGTAGTGGGAACACAGATGTCACAGAGATGGATAATAAACAGGTATCAGAAGAGAAGGAGATGGGGGGCAGGGCAAAGCTGTGAAGGCATCTCGTGAAAGTGTGTGGCACTCGAGGTGCCTTGGGTTGAATTTCAGCAAGGGAAGAAAGGGAGAGCGCTTCAGGAGAGTGGTCTGGCCAGAGCCCAGGTAAAGCAGCCTGAAATTAAGTACCAGATGCAGGACAAGGTAGAACAAGTGATGTCTGAGGAAGCTGGGGAGGAGGGGGGAGGCTCAGGAGATGGAGTGATGGATCTGGATTGTCAAGGGAAAGGAAAGTGTCTTTGTTTTGCAGGAGGTGGGGAGTCACTGGAGTCCATTTCTCTTACAATGGAAGTGATGTGGTGAATTTATAAAGGCCATTTGGGCTGCAGTGTAGAGGGAGGTTGGCTGAGAGCCTGACAAAGTGAAGTTCAGAGACAGTCAGACGAGCCTGAACCCAGGCAGCCTGGCGAGGAGCCATCAGACAGGAGGAGGGACCCGGCTTGGGGGCTGGTGATGCTTTATCCAGAAAGACAAAGTCTAAAGGYAAGTGATAAGGTCAGTTTAGAACTGTTGAGTTTGAGATGTCCGAGGGATGCTTCACACAGCGTGATCAGCAGCCGGCTAGGGATTGTAGGGAGAGCTCAAGGGAAGTTCTATCGTGGAGCTGTGGGTCTGGGAGTAGTTTCAGTGTAGGTGATGGCTAATCATGGACCCCGTGAGGGCTGGTAAGATCATCCGAAAGGTTCAAGGTGAGAAGAGGGTGGGATATTGAACCTTAGGGAACACCCAATATTTTAGAAGGAAGAGAATCCAGCAAAATATGTGAAACAAGATCAGAAGGGTGGTAAGAATTTGAAAAAGAGACTGGGAGGCCTGAAGCCACACAGAAGAGGAGTTACACAAAGGGGAGAATACTACAGAGACATAAATAACTTAAAAGGCACCATTTGTGTTTCAGGAGTCATTGATTCACCCAGTTAATACATATGTTTTGAGCATTTACCTATGTCAGGCCCTGTTCTAGGTGCTAGGGGTACAGCAGAAAGCAAAGCAGTCTCTCAATATTTGAAGTTTAGTATTCCAATGGGGAAGGCAGATAATAACTAAATACAGAATTTTATTAAAAAATCATGCCACATAGGTCTTATGGAGTGGGGGTCATGTAATAAGGCTGAGAGGATGGAGAGTCTTGGGGTTGTTATCTTAGACAGGGAGATCAACAATGTTCTCACTAAGTTGGTTGCATCTGAGATGGGAGGGAAGAGCCCTGTGGATGTCTGAGAAGAGTATGTCAGGCAGAGGAGAGAGGAGGTGCAAAGGCCCTGAGGCAGGAGGCACTTAACATGCTAGAGAAACCCCAAGGAGGCCAGTGAGACTAGAGTGGAATAAACCACAGGGATAGTGTCAAGACATGTGGTCAGAGACGTGGCAGGGACAGAGAGGGAGTCCCTGTGGCAGGGCATGGTAAGGATTTGGGATTTTGTTCTAAGATTTAAGGTTCTAAGACTTAAAAGAGGGGTAAATCAGACTAAAAGAGGAAATCTGATGACCATGTAGAAATTAGTATGAGTTTGGACAGAGTGAAAGCAGGGCACAGGTTAGGAGGACACGGGTAGCTGCCACCCTGTACCAAGACTTCCTGGTGATTAGTCCCCATCAGCCTGATTCTGAACCTCCTGGAGCTCAGGCTCAGCCTGGGCTCTCACGGGAGGGTACATTTCTGTCATCCCATAGTACCTGTCACATGCTATTGGGGATGTTGGCTTACTCTCATGTCTCCTTCACTCGACTGGGAGCTCCTTCCAGGCAAGGACTCTGTCTGCTYGTTTCTCTGCACACGATCTCTATCTATTCACAGCAGAAACTCAAGAGATGTGCTTGTGGCAGGTGCTCAGTTGGTGTCTGTCGAGTGACTGTTGAGAGGTCAATGTCACTCAGATCTTCTTCCCCAAGGTACCAGCAGGTTTGATTCCAAAAGGGCCCCTGAAGGCAGAACCCTCTCTCCTAGGCTCTCACGGATTTTCATTTTTATCGCAGGAGAGTTTGAAACCTGCACCATCCTTTTCAGCGACGTGGTGACRTTTACCAACATCTGTGCTGCCTGTGAGCCTATCCACATAGTGAACATGCTGAACTCCATGTACTCCAAGTTTGACAGGCTAACCAGCGTCCACGAGGTCTACAAAGTTAGTGTCTGTGTGGTGTGGTGGTTGTGCATGGGTTGTGGCTAGGCAGAGTCTTGATTCTTTTCTCTGTAGGCACTAATCTGAGGTTTGGTGTGAATGCGAGTTGGGAGAAGAGGCAGAGCTAAAGGAGAATTGGGAGTATTTAGGAATCATATCTTACTAGGATTCTTCACGCAATACCCATGCTAACATGGTCCCCTGGTGCAACTGAGGGGAAAACACTATTTTCTAGGAAAATTTTCTAGAAAATTTAGCAGAATTTATATTCAAATAATACATTATCTAATACAGTATCATATGACTACTCCAGAGGCCTGATTCTGAACCTCCTGGGATTTTTTTTTTCCCACCGAAAGCAGAAAGGGGGCTGGAGTGTCAATCAGGGAGACAGCACCTGCCTAGCATGAGCAAGGCCCTGGGTTTGATTCCCAATATCAAAACAAACAAACAAAGCAAACACCAGAAAATCTTTTTGGCTGTCTCATGGTTGTTCCCTAAGTCAAGTTTCTTCTTACCTTCCCCCTCATCCTCCTCATACCCCCGAATGCAGTCACTAGCTTTAATATATTACTTACAGAAATAGATGGAAAATGGCTGATGTAGTGCATAAAGAGAAGCCTCTGAGTACCCTTTCTTTTCCCTTCSRCAGGTGGAAACAATAGGTGATGCTTATATGGTGGTAGGTGGTGTACCTGTGCCTATTGGAAGCCATGCTCAGAGAGTGGCTAATTTTGCACTGGGGATGAGAATTGCTGCAAAAGAAGTAATGAATCCTGTTACCGGAGAACCTATCCAGGTAGATAGCAAATGAGTACTTTGCTTAATACCACACATCTCATGCAAAACTCTGGTCTGCTTAGGTGGTCACRGGGTCTATTGCAATAATTAAAATAGGTAATTTTTCCCAGCTCTTTTTCTCTTGCATATGTTCCTAAGGAACTGAGATATTAGTAAGGATATTATAGTCTCAGTTTCTTCCAAATTTCAGAAGAGGCTGGGATGCTAAGAATTTTCCTGTGATTCACTGCATCCTTCCTCTGTGCATAACTTAGGATGATACCGAGTGCATTTCTCTACTTTCCTTGTAGGGCTCAATCCATCCTGAAAGCTCATTTATAATTCCTGGGTTTTGTGTGTGTGTGTGTGCAGACATTTCAACAGGTGGTTCAGGTTTACTGAACTGCCAGCTTTTCGTATTTGGGGAAATTGTGGCAGTTCAGAGCTCAGGCTGAGGCATAAAGCTGCCTTCAGTCAGCAGCCCAGGCACCTGGATGCCATAGATATTGAGAATGGTTCCTTCCACCATGTGRCCATTAGCAAGACATCTGCTCACCTTTCTTGTAGGAGCTGCTCTTCCAAGCACCATGATAGAATCTGGGCAGTTTGGGAGAAAAAAGTTAAATGTCCTCTTCTGTCAACTGACCAGATCCTAATCCCCTGAGCTAGCTTGGAGCTGTACCTTTTGCTCTTTTACATCCAGATCCCTCCCCTGCTCATTTCAGTCAAAAATTCAAARTAATGGTTAACTAAAAATAAATAAAACCAATTATAAGGTCAGATGTGATTTTYCCAAGTTATGATCCCTTTGTAGGAAGTTCTGAAAATATATTCTACTTGCTCTCTCCTGTGATTTGGAGGCTAAGAAATAGTGTAGGTCCCGGATCTAGTGTCCCCAATAGTCTTTTAAGAAAAAGCTGGCCATCACAAGAACAAAACATCTACAATACCATAATATATACGTTGAATAAAATCTCTGATGTCATAAATAAAAATCAGAATGGAAGGTAAGAGGGAATAGAGATAAGGAGGTCAGACAAGAGATGAGGACTTTAGTTAAAGGGCCCTAAGGTAAGTCACTGAAGAAAAATGACTTAAAATATTTGTTTGTGTAAATCGAAAGTGTGTGTGCTTATGAAAGATGTATAGATGAGAATAATGCCATACCAATAAGAATTAAGCAATGAACTCCTGGTAATTCTTAAGGTGGATTTACCAAGAAAAAAAAGAAAACAAAACAGGAAAGGATGTTAGCAACTCTAAGGTAAGAACAGAGTTAAATACCCACCAGCAACAGCATATCATGTAGGTTTTATTCAAGGCTGTTGGGGATAAGAACCAGAATCATCTCCCTTTGGAAAACTACCATTTCTACAGTTTTTAAATTAGTGCATATTGGGATCTATTCTTTYATTATACAGATTATTTAATGTGCACTTATTGAGGTCCTTGAGTGTATGCAGCAGTTCTACRAGGTGCTTTGAAGGATTTAGAGATGTACTGACAGTCCCATAGAGCGCCAGGAGGAATCTGGACCCATCCACCAACTCTTTCCCATAGGCCTTTCCCCACGTGCATAGAGTTCTTCCTTCAGCCAAAGGCTAGGGACAGGGGAAGAGCTAAGAGACCTCCTCATCCCTGAGTTCYTGGGGCCCTCCCCAAATGCAAGGCAGTGGCCTGTGGGATGGGCTGGTGTTAGTGTGTGAGAACCAAGAGAAATTCCTCTGGGGCATTCTTTGTAGTACCTGCACAACAATGATCCTCTGAAATGGGGCAGGGGGAGGGCAAGGAAGAGTGGCAGAGAGAGAAATCTCCCCAGGTGCAGAGAAATCTCCCCAAGTGCAGAGAGTGGGACTGGCCGGAGAACCAACCCTGAAGAGCTCACTGTTGGAATGTGTTGTAAAACCAGATCTCCCATCAAGACAAGAAATTGAAAGATGGAATAAAAAAATTAAAAAAAAACTATTTAAATTAATGGGACTAAATCTTTCAAAAGATACACACAACCTCTATTCTGATAACTACAAACGATTACTTAGAGAAAATAAAGAAGACCTAATTAAATGGAGGAATGTACCATGTTCACAACTGGAAAAAAATCAATATGATTAAGCTGTCCATTTTGTCCCCAAGTTGATGTATAGATTTGATGGAATAGCAGTCAAAAATTCCAGAAGGCTTCTTTGAAAATATTTACCAGTTGATTTTAAAATTTGTATGAAAATGTAAAGAATCTAAAATAACTCAGTCAATGGAAAATAAAATTATAGGGCTTACACTACCCAATGTCAAGAACTATTCTAAAGCTATAGTAATAAACAAAGTAGAAATGGCAGAAAGATAGACAAATAGATCGTTGGAATAGTAGAGAGTGTCCAAAAATAGACTGTGCCTTAAAGATTAATTGATTTTTAGTCAACKCACCAAATTCATTCAGTGGGGAAAACAACCTTTTTTTTTTTTTCAAAAAATGGTTCTGTTACAACTGAATATTATATGGAAAGAAAAAAATGTACCTCAATCCTACCTCGCTTCATATATGAAAAATAATTTAACATACATTAGAGAGCTAATCATAAAAGCTTCTTGATGGAAATGCAGTGGATTGAAAGGAAAAAATCTCCCAGAATTCATGGGTCCTGGACCTCAGTTTCTTAGTATGTGACTATGTTTGAAGATACATGGTTTAAAGAGCTGATAAAGTGAAAATGAGGCCTAAGGGTGAGTCCAATCTGACTGATGTACTTATAAGAAAAGGAAGTGAAGACACAGAGATAGTAGGGATGCCGACCAGGTGAGGACCCAGAGAGAGGCTGTCGTCCGTAAACCAGCAGAGGTCTTCAGGAGAAGCCAAACCTGACTTTGCCTTGATCCTGGCATTCTAGCACCCAGCACCATGAGACAATAAGATTTCTGTTTAAGCCACCTAGTCAGTGGTATTTTATTATAGCAGCCCAAGCAAATTAATATATTCAACAAAATTAAAATCTCTGCTTATTAAACACAATGAATATACAAAACCATAGACTAGAAAAAAATTATATATATATATATATATATATTCAAATATGTATAGAATTCGTGTACATTAACAATAACTGGTAAACAATACAATTTCTAAAGCAGGCAAAACCTTGCACAGACTTTCCACAAAAGAGGGTATACAGATGGATAATATGGGCATAAAATGTACTTAACATTATTAGCTAGGGAAATGCAAGTGAAAACCACAGAGAGATATCATTTCACACCAACTAGAAGACCAAATGGTGAAAATGTGGAGCCATGAGCAGTGTCACACTGCTGATAGGAATGGAAAATAGAGAATGAATTCTGGAGAATTATTGGGTAGTTTTGTTTTGTTTTGAGTAAAATTAAATTGGAATTTCCTTGTGACCCAGAAGTGGAATTTCTACTTCTAGGAATTTACCCAAGAGAATTGAAAACATATGTCCACAAAAAAAATATATGTACAGAAATGTTCATGGCAGCCTTAATTATATTAGGTCCAAACTGGTAATAACCCAAGTGAAGAGGAGAATGGATAAATGGATCRTGGTGTACTTTTAGTGTTCAGTAATAAAAATGAAGAAATACTGATCCATACCCTATAAATGAATCTCAAAATTATGTTGATCAAGTAAATCCTGATATAAAATAGCGTATACTAGATGATTACATGTATGTGACATTACAGAACAGGCAAAATAATCTTTGGGAAAAGATATTTTAAAAAGTAGTTCTCTACCTCTGTTGGGAGTGGGAGGGGAAAAGAGTTTAATTGGAAAGGAGCACAAGATAATTCTGTGAAATAGTGGAACACTTTTATATCTTTGTGGAATGGTTTTAGATGGAGGTTCTAGGGACATAGGCAAAATTCATGGAGCTAAACACATTAATGGCTGTGGTTTTCCTTTTATGTAAAATAATACATTAACTTAAAAGCAAAAAGCAAGAGGATTAGATGGTTTCTTTTCAGGGAGGTTCTCTCTGTGCAGATCCGAGTGGGGATCCACACTGGACCAGTCCTAGCAGGTGTCGTTGGAGACAAGATGCCACGGTACTGCTTGTTTGGTGACACTGTGAACACAGCCTCTAGGATGGAAAGTCATGGGCTTCCCAACAAAGTGCACCTCAGCCCCACAGCCTACAGGTAGCCATTCATGTTTCTGTGCCTTCTTTCATCCATCCCCTCATTCCAGAACTTACGAAATGTCTACCAGCCATGGGGGTGGGGGTAGTGGAGGAGATTCCTGTTTACTCTTCCATGCTTCACTGGCTCACAGAAGACACTGTGCCAGACAGGATTGTGGAGCTTCCACTATGRCATAGATTTTGCTCTCAAGGTCCATGTGGCTTAGTGGAGAGAACAGCAAGTTATAAAGCCCCATGGGCTTGGTTTTTTTTCTTGTAAATAAAGTTTTATTGACACACAGCCATGCTCTCTTATCACACACTGTCCACGGCTAATGTGATACAAAGACCAGAGTTGAGATTATATGGTCCACAAAGCYTGAAATATTTACTATCTGATCTTTTATAGAAAAAGTTTGCTGGCCCTTGGTCTAGGGGAAGAAGACAGAAAATTCACATTTCAATATTTTTAGAGTGGGACAAGTACAAAGATAAAGATAGGCTCAAAATAATACTTAGAATGTCTAGAGTACTTCCAATCGTCCACACTGGATTCTAAAATCTTTTACGTATATTAATTCATTTAATTGCCACGACTCCATGAAAGTGTACTATTATTATTCTTATTTACAGATGAGAAAAAAATAAGACATAAAAAGCGCTAATAACTTGCCCCAGGTATAGGTAGGTCAGGAGGGGAGGAACCTGGAAGCTTCCAGGCAGGGCTCAGGGCTCAGACTCCCTGCTCTTCAGCTACTCTATTCTCCTGCTTTGGGAATTCGAGCAGGTCATGGGAGCCCAGGGGAAGGGGCCTGACCCTGGAAAGAAAGGCTTCATGGGGTGGGGGAGAAGATGCCATGCTGAATCTTGAATGAGGAGTTTCAGAGAGGGATCTAGCCAAAATCGGGGTACTGGGAGTGAAAACCAAGCAGTCAGGAGAAATGAGGGGCTGTGTGTRTGAGGCATGTCTGGGAGGAAGAACATTGTGGGAGGATCATCAGGGTTTGGGACGGTTCCCTGTGCCCTCTCTTGCTCTTTGGCACCCTGCTCAGAACATCAACCTTCATGCCTCCCTCTTCTCCCCACTGCCTTTGCCCCTCCGGAGGCCCTGACCAGGGGCTTGGATCCTCCTTCCTCCCTGCTGTGTGTCCTGGGTCCGGGACTCTCCTCTTGCACTGTAGCCAACCTGTGGTCTTTGTTTTTCTTTTTCTTTCTGTGCAGAGCCCTGGAAAATCAAGGGTTTGAAATCATTGAGAGAGGTGAAATTGAAGTAAAAGGTAAAGGGAAAATGACCACATACTTTCTGATCCAGAACTTGAATGCCACAGAGGATGAGATCATGGGCAGACCTAAAACTCCACTTGATCACAAGGGTAAGCCCCAAAGCCTTGTCATTAGCATTGGGTATCTTTCTACTCTGCACTTCAGATGTGTCTGCAGTAAACTTGGTCTGAGAGTGGACACAGGTGGCTTCCATCCTCCTCCATCCTCCTGCCCTGCACAACCCTCTCTTATATTCTGGACAGTCGGATACCCCTTGAGCTGGGCAATATAGACAGTGTTTACCGGGATCAATTGAGCCTTTGGTGTTGAGCTGGTTGGCTCCAGAATCCGAGAGACGGGGAATGATCAGCACCCTTCTGCTCAATTCAGTAGAGAGGACACAGAGTAAAACTTCCCTAGTTCTGACTCCTGSGTCATAAGAAGTTGGAAGCAGATTTCCGCCATGACCTAGAGGTGTTTCCTAYTCCTGGCGCCCTGCTCTCCTACAACTCAAACCTGAAGAGTTGTCCAGCCTAGTACAGGATAGGATTATAACAGCCATGGATTATTCAACAATCCRTTTCTTGCTGCTCTAGTGTTGTAGGGACAAACGAGGCAAGGCACCGAGGATAGCAGGAAACAGTTTTATTTGGCTGCAGCCAGGTTCAGAGAGCACAGCTTTTGCTGTAATCAATTAATCCCCTGWACCCMGAATTCAGGGAGTTTCAGAGTTTTATACCCAGCATGTAAGGGGAGGGGCTCAGAAGTTCACAGTCTGCAGAAGTTCACATAAAAGCAGCTTTTTCTTTCACTGTTCTGGGCAGGTTAACTCTTCAAGGACAACACCTGAGAAGGGGAGAGCTTCTTCTCTCCTCTCTTTCCTCCCCCTGCCAGCTATACCATGGAGCCCAACTGTAACTTATTTTAAAAATGTAGACATCTCTGTGAAGCCCCAGCTCAAGGCCAGAGGCCTTGTTTGCACATTTCTTCAAAGTACTATACTGGATACGTTTGTGAAAAACTAGTAAGGGGGTGTCCAGCACCTGGAGTGCTGGTATCTTCCCGGCCAGTGGCCAAGTAAACAGGGCAACATGAAAATAGGAAGTTTATCTACAATGGACTCTTTTGCTGACAGTCCTAAAATCAGCCATGGTGAAGAGGCTTTCAGTAGAGAAAGGGGGTGCCACATCACTAGGAACAAAGGGTGACCAGCGTGCACCTCCCTGGGACCCAGCGGTGCTATTGAACAGAACATTCACACAGCTTGTGTTTTGATAGAATCAGACCCTTCACATGTAGCAAAATAAATAAGATATTTCAGGTAGAGATGAATGCTACAGAAAAAAATAAATCTGAGTAGTGGAGAAGAGAGCCAACAAATTCTTCCTTGAGGCAGCCATACCTAAATTGAGACTAGGATTCAGGGAAAGAGCTGGCAGGTGGCAGCCTGGGGAATGGGGCTTCCAGAAACGCTGGTCCCAGAGGCAGACAGGTTGAGCAAGTGCAATGGAGACCAGACCAGAGTATCTGGAGAGGGCTGGAGGAGGAAGGGAGCAATAGGGGATGAGGTCAGAGAGGTGGGTGGAGCCTCCAACAGTCTTGGCCTTGAGCCTCCTTATCCACGTGCAGAATGTATGGGCACAAAGTCTGGGGTGAGGTGCAGAGCTGCTGGGGCCTGGTGGGCACCTTCAAAGGAAGCAGATCTCTGCTATTCCAATTCAGATGTAGCTGCTCCATAAATCACTCAGAAGGTGGTTTATGATTTATTAAGGTCTAAGAACTCCTTAAGCTCCATGAAGTTGAAGGAATTCCTTTCTTAGACACCCGCTGCATGGTGCACAGGGCTCAGTGGGTTTGGGCACGTTGCTTAGAGGAAAGAGGAACATCTCAGATGGTCCCTGATTTAATACTTCGTCTAACCTTTGCTTTCCTGGACAAAACCCAACATYAATGGCTAGAAAAGAAAAAACAGAGGGCACCTGTGTATCAGAGGGAAATTGGAAGGGTGGAAAAAGGGTATTTGTTGGGCAGCTATTCAGTGCTGGGCACTTCATTCACATTGTCACATTTGACCCAGTGATCACATGGACACAACGATCACATTACTAATCCCACGACAGAGGTAAGGCACTTAAAGTTCAGGAAGGCCATGTGATGCATATAAGGTCCCACAACTAGAACATGAAGAGGAGCGTGTGATCTCTAGGCTTGGTTTTCTTGGACAGACCGCGTCTGTGTGAGATGGCTTCAGTAATGGAGCAAAGCAATTCCATAGTTTCCCACGTGGCAGGCTGCTGCACTTGGACTTCTTGGCATCATGATGGCCCAGCCCCATTTCCCTCAGATTTCCCATCAGAGTGATGAGCAGGTGTGTTGATGAGCAGGTGTGTTGATGGGTGAGAGTGATGAGCAGGTGTGTTGATGGTGAATCACTCTCGCACTGTGGGTGAATGATAAATTTTCAGGTATGTGCGAGAGGCTTGAAGCCAGGTAGACCTTGGGTGGAAAGCTACCCAAAAGCACATCTTTTCCCATCCTCCCCAGGCAATATGAGCTCGAGTTTCCCCCTGCGTGGGCTTCTTTCTTATCTCTCAGGGTTGACAGCAGATGTGACACTTAGCCTTAGAGGATTCGCGGCTCCTGCTCATAGACCCTACTTCTCACCCTAGTTCCAATGCCAATTCCCATGCATTTGCAGGCCTAGCTTTGCTCTGAGATAATGAAGGCTGCTAGAGGGTCACGGCAAGAGCCCCCACCCTCACCATTACCCTGTCCCCTGTCTGGACCTCATTATGGGGAAGCCTTTCTATCAGTCGCCAAAGCCTGTGRGACTCCTGAAGTCAGGCTGTGGGATTTCAGTGCCTTGGAGATCTGGTAGCTTTCCAGTCTCTMGGGAATTGGCTGAACATTCAGGACCCACCTCATTGATGACATCGGCCACCCTCCTCGGCAGGTTGTCACCTGGCTGCCAAACATGGTGGCTCTGCAGTTCTATGCCTTTCTATCTGACTTGACTCCCGGGTGTGGGTTGTAGGCAGTCYCCTGCCTCCTCCCTGCCTGCTGTGGTTACCATTGCTCCTGGAAAAATATCTAATGGGGACACCATGCAGATGTCTCTCGAGGGCCAGCTGAGGYCTGGTGCTCACCCCTTCTCTTGGCCTCCTTTTAAAAGTGGCCTTGTTGAATCCCTGCGGCACCCTCAGCAATAGGAGAAGGAAGCAGTGGGCAGGATGGGAACCTCATTTGCACTTCTAGGACACATTTTTCTTTCACTCCACTATGTATTGGGGTGTTAGATGTATCCATAGGGAGACCCCCCAGTGCAATTAAACAGGAGTATTGAGCAGGAGAGAAACCAGTGTAGTTGACTCAGATATGTAAGCAACCACCTTTCAGTATGGGCTGAAAAATTGGCCTTCCAGCTGTCCCTGCTGGCAGACTCTTCTGGCATCTCATCAGGTCCCTGTTAATGTGTTTTTCAAATTTCAGTTTGCTTCAACTTTTCTCCTAACCAATTTTCCCGACGATTATGGTAATGGTTTCCAGACTGACCTGCATACAGTACTTGGGCACGCAGCCCAAGCCCCTCTCCGGAAGTGACCCCTCCTTAGAAACCACAGTCAAGGGTGTCTACTTGTTGGGTTCATGGTAGGTTAAGCCAGCTTGGGGGACTTCTTAAACCAGCTCCTAATTGTTCCTCTGGAGAACTTGTGTGGTAAGAGTCTCTCCTGAATTTCAGGTTTGGTGGTCTGCCTGCTAGAGGTTGCTGATTCCCTCTGAATTTGACTACTCTTCCAAACAGAAAGAACTTTCCCACCATTTTCAGACCCCTGATGGGCTGAATTCTTGGATGGGCTTGTGGTCATTTAATTTGCCAGGCTCCCTGCCCCTTACTTTACAGAGTCCTGACTATTCCAGAGTCTTTCCAGACATGTCCAATTAGCTGGGGTCTAGCTGATGTGGATCTAGCTGCTGAGGATGGCTGGGTCCTTATGCTCAGTTCAGGAGCCTGTTGGCAGCTGTTCTGGGGCCTTCCTAAGCTTGGCTGTCAAACTGCACTCCCTTTTCCTACCTGGGATCAAGGAATGGCAGAGTTGCTTTTAACCTTGGACTTTCTAGAAATTGTGCTGTTAACTCACGAAGGTTCCATAGAAGGAAGATACTGGGAGGTGAACATGGACTTTCACAAATAAGCAGGTTACTCATGGAGGAACATAAGATTTTCAGGGTAAGGACCTATCCCTGGATAACATGGACTAGCATGTTTCATGACAGCTGGTCCTCATGGGAGGTGTGGGGGCAGCAGAAGCATTTCTGGAGCAACTGTGGATAGTAGGATGGTTAGGCTGCATCCCAAGGACGAYTGGAAGGTTCAGAGTGGGGCCCATGACTCTAGATTGTCAAGCAGCTTATAGGGGGTTCTGATGAGCTCAAATGGGTTTGGGAACCTCCATCATGGTAGAAAGTGTTGGGCTGAAATCAGAATTCTGAAGTCTAGGTTCAGGTCTGCAGTGAGTCCTCCTAATTAACTTTTTTTTTCTTATCMCAGAATGTCAGAAGGTCTGTTCATAGGGTGGTTTGAGGAATATGAGATAGAACATATCGCCTAAAACTCAGAGTACTGAGATATTTGGACATGCTAACTGCTTGCTCACTTGGGGACCCTAACACTGAGAGTCTATTCAGAAAAAAACATGTAGGTCTTAGCACAAGACTGTACAGGGGCTCTAGAGAAAGGCTTGCTGTACGTACCCACGAGGAACTTCAGAGGAGGACAGAAGGATCCACACAGAGACATCAGAATTCCAGCCTCCCACAGGGCACCAGGCACCCACAGGGAGCAGGAGAGATGCTGGCTTCGGCAAGGACTGAGAAGAGCTCTCAGAGGAAGTGTAGGAGATGGTAGAAGTGGGCAGAGGCAAGAATCTGCTCTGGTTGCTGGAAAATGTGGGGTCTTCTGGAAGCTGGAGACATCGCCTCCACAGTGAGGCCTCTTTTGCCCAAGGATATAAACAGGAGGGAGCTGGAGATGATTCTGCAATAGCAAACCCTCTCAGCATTCTGGAGACACCATCACATCCTTTGTACCACTAGCACAGAATGCCCCGGAAAGCTGAGACAGAAGCAGGTGGGAAGGCAGACAGGGGAGCCCATGCAGAGTAAAGGTCAGGCCAGGGCAGAGGTCCAGGAAGGCCGCAACAGGGCCTGTGCAGCCAAGTGCCAGGATGGGGTGCAGCTTCCCAGGGGGTGAAGCTGTAGTCCTTGAGGGTGACAAAGACCCAGCAGAGAATGATCTCAGGCTCAGCATAAACTTTTACCCCAGCTATGGAGACTTGGTGTTGAAATGAAGATATGATCTTCCATATATTATTATCTACCTAGGAGGTTAGAAACAGATGCAGGAAGGCAAAACAAAAAATTGATTTTATTCACAAATGTTAGAATTCCTACTTGTAAACACATGTCGTTTCCTGTATGACTCACAGAGCCCTAGAAGTCACCAGGCAATAGTCCAAATCCCACCTCTCTTCTCCAAGACACCAACGTCTTCCAAAACTCCGTGTTGTTCCCACTGCAGACCCTATAGCACCCCATCCCCCCAAACACTCTCAAGTGCATAATGGACAATGTGGGTTATATCATGTCTGTTTCCCAAATGCAGAGTTGTCTTCTGCAGCCGTCATCTTCGTTTAACCTGTTTTTAATTAATTTTGAATGGGTTTTTGTTCTGCTTTGAATACTGAGCTGTGGGGTTTGCCTTTTGATTTGTATCAGAGAAGGACTATTTACCTATTAAAAAATAGAAAAAGCAGATTAAAAAAAAAAGAAGGAAACAAAAGCACTGTAATTCCATCACCCAGAGATACTACTAGAGATACTACTATTAAAAATTGGGTGCATATCTTCCCAGACTTGTGTGTATAGGTGTGTGTATAGTACATACGTACTGTTATGTTCTGTTTTGTAACTTTGCAGGTCATGGATTTCTTTCCTTTGAATATAAACACATTTTAAAACAAAGGAAGGAAGATGTATTTGACATGGTACCTTATTTCCKTGTAGCCTGTGCTATTACATACCCAGACCCATATTTATATGGCATCCAATGGAAATCCCAATTATCTTGTACACCTGCATATCTACAATCCATCTGTGATGACCCTGATATTCTGTAAGTCCTGAAGTTTCCTCTGAAATTTCCAAAAAAAGAGTAACTTCATTTAATTAAGCTTTAGTGTTTGGATTATTCCAGGTGTCTAGATGTCAGTAAACCATAGAAGATGTACCTTAAAATTCCCAATTAGAAAATGTAACTAACCAGAATGCTACATTTCCTAATTGTGCACAATAATGAGCATTAAGTGTAGCAAAATGATGGTACCAATAGGCCATCTTGGGAGCTGTGAGCAATGGTCTTATGGGTATGAAAGATGATAGATAAGAATTCATCTCAAGTAAACAAAGACATTTTTCCACCATCTGGGTTATGGAATTGAATTGAGGATGTCAAACATATGTGTGGAAAAATCCCAGAAAGTCTTGCAATTCTGAGCTGACCAAGTCTATTTGAATTGTCAGGTGGCATCTACTCCAATGGATTGAGTCACGTCTGGCCTGTCCAGCTAGCAGCATGATGTCTCAGTTCAATTTCCCAACACTATCCTAGCCAGTTTTCCCAACACTATCCTAGCTAGTTTTCCTAGCCAGGGGATTTTTCCTCAGGGAAAGAAAAGAGAAGGAAGAAAATGAGTTTAAGGGAAATGAGAGTAGAAATGGAGGAGGTAGAAGATCAAAGTTAAGCTACTAGCAAGAAAATGAAAAAAATGGGCAGGTTAGAAGAGAGAAAAAATGTGTTATGGACAGAAGAGATGAATCAATGATGAAAAGCAAAGTTMAAAAATTTTCACAAGGAAAAATCAGAAAAAAACATGAAAAGGTATTGAATAAAAGAGGAAATAGGAGTTCTATGAAGTATTATTTCCTAGCATCAAGTGTACTTATAAAATCCTTTGTGAGACTTTGAGTCAGAAAATATATTATTCACGTTGTTTCAGAAGACTCATGGAAGTCTCTGGAAGCAGAGCTGGTCACCGACAATCAAAGGAAGTTGCCTTTGCTTAATTCCCTCTACTTTTAGCAACTCCAACCCCCTTTARCTCCATTTTTCTTTTAATTAGAATAATACTCCCTTATGGTAGCATTTCCAAGATACCCAGCACATTTTGTGATCAAGATACTGTTCTGTGGAGATTTTTCTCACAGATTCTTATATAACAAGTCTGTAAATTGAGTGGGACATGGATGTGTTGTTTAGTATTCTTGAACATTTGGAGAAACCAATGTATAGAGGGATGTTCGATGGGTTCATCCAATTGCCYTTCTAGACTGACATGTGGTGATGGATGAGGAGGCACCCGGCCAAGTGTTCTCAGTCAGTGGAAAAAAAATGACACTTCCCTCTGTAATCAACTCCATTCTCCTCTATTTGCTACAAAACTGAGACAAACGTGAGCTCAAAGCTTTCAAACACACTATGCTCTGTCATTTAATGGCAGGTTTCCAGTTTTGAAAAATTTAATGCCTTTTAAAATTATAATAATGCCTTACATTTCAAAGAAATGTAATACTCCAATAAATTCTATAATTAAAAATGAAAGGCATAAGGAATAATAAAATTTGTAGAGAATTAGCAAGGAAGTACAACAACTTCATATCTGAATAAGTAACACTTTCCAAAGAGCATAAAATGTGACTGCACATGATTTGATCTTTATACCTGTGTGTGTGTGTGTGTGTGTGTGAGAGAGAGAGAGAGAGAGAGAGAGAGAGAGAGAGAGAGAGAGAGAGACATGGAGAATATGGTATGGCTATCAGATGAACCTGTAACTAAAGACATCTGTATTTAGCCAACTCCAGTTTGTCCAGACCTATAAAGATGCCACACTTGAGAATTTTACGGACCTGGTTCCTGGTCATCTTAGCTCCAATTGTGCATGAGCTAAATACTCCTATGACTYGTTTCTCAGAGTTGCTCCAGGGACGTGGTTCTAGGTGACTCAGGAACTCCTCTCTTACCTTCTTGGCTCCAGGGTCCTCTCCCCAGTTTTCACCTCTTCCTGGGCCTAAGACCGAGGGGAGTCTGGAGACCGACTGGTCCAGTAGCCTGAAGTTTTCCTCATATGTCATCACTTACATTCATTAGTGACTGGTCATTAGCAGACGGAGCTCCTCTCAGTCTAACTGGGCTGAAGGCTACCATTACTCTTAGGATCTTGATGCAAAACCCATCATTGACCTAAGGTCGGAAAGAAGGCTGAACTGCAGTAGACCCTAAGGTGAAGGAAGCCCATCATTCGTGTGGGGAGGGGAGCTGAAGAGGGAAGCCCCTCCTGACTGCATGCTTTATGGAACAGTAGGTGGACATGAACCTGGGATCTATCATGGGCGCCTCTCTGAACTTGAGAGTCTCTGGAAAAATGATTAGTGTCAAAAAAGGAAATGCGGATGATAGATGGCTCTAAGATCTCRGATGCTGGCTTTCCAGAAAAAACCGCAGGGGGAGCAGGAGGGGATCGAGACGGGTCTTGTGGCCAGCCTCCCTCTCCATCGCTCTCTGATCCTGACCCCTCCCTCCCCAAGGCAGTTGCTTTCCTGGGCTTCCTCCTTGGGCTCCCTTGCATACTTAGGAAGACTAATTGGCATCTTGGAATGGGTACCCTGGGCGGCCGTTCTGTTAATTACTTGATATCAATCATCTAAGGTAATTATGGGTTCCCATTTACAGATGAGGAAAAATGAGACCCAGAGAGATTAAGTAACTCGTTCACTGTCACAGGGTGGTAAGTGGCTTGCCACCAGCACGTGGCACCAGGTGTGAACCTCAGTCCGTGGGACATGGTAGCTCAGAACTTACAGATGATCCCAGTCTGGGGAGAATGGAGACTTGGTGCTATTATGTAGCTTTTGCAGAAGTAAAGATTTGAGGTGTGACAAGATGGTATTGTGGAGCACAAGAGAAATGGTAGAGTCACAGGACGCAAGACATTGTCCTGCCCGAGATCTTGCAGAGGCAGGAAAGCAGTGTAGAGCGTACCCATCCTGGTGGAGGTGAAGGCTCAGAGGGAGTCCCTGGCGGGAGGTCAATGTGACATTTGATTGACTTGCTCACCCTTCTGGGTTGTTTTTTTTTTTTTTTTTTTTTGCAGACTCTGATGTGGCCACACCCGCCTGGAGTCTGGGGACAAGGCAGGACTCCGTGGAGGCCGCTGACCAACAGTCATCTTCAGATCCCACCAAGACTGGCGACTCGGTGCCCTCTGGTTTCTGTGTCTTGTTGTAACAGAGGAGATAGGAGCCCCGGAGATTAATTTCCCCTCTAGTTGTAAGGCGACAAAGAACAGTAACTTGGCGTCCCAGCTCATAATTTCTTAAGTCGMATCTTCCTCATCGTCCCTTTGAGAAGAAAAGTCTAGAAATGAAACAGGATCCTGACAAGTTTGCAGAACGTGCGCAGACGTTAGCTGAGAGCCAGCTCTCAACGCTGTTTGCTTCCCACAGGAGCCAGGGGCGCAGGCTCTCAGCCAGGGCTGTCCAGCAGGAGCCCTGGGGCCGACTTCAGAGGACACCTTGACCTTGGGGGCTCTCCGTGTGCCATGTTTTAAGGGGTGATCGGAGGGAGAGGAGAAAGGAAGGAGGCAGGGAAAGGAGGAGAAGGGGGAGTCGAGGAAAGAGACCCAGATGCTRCAGTTTAGAAATCACTGTCATAGTGGAGATGTGAGAGGCGCCCAGCCAGGGGTTGTGAAAGGAAATCATTTTCATTCCCAGCCCTGGGAAATATGCAAAGCCATAGAACAAAAGCTGCATTCCCCAGAGATTTTGTGAAAGGAAAATGGAGGAGAAAATGTGAAGATCACTGAAAAGGCTGAGTTAGGAAAGATACAGAAACAAGTGGGGTGCAGCCTGGCCGCAGGGCCCCCGCCAGCCTGGCTGCTCTAGATAGAGCTCCCTGCAGCAGAGGAGAGCGGGCAACCTCAGAGCCTCCCCTCTGGCTCCAGGGCTGGGGAGACAGAGTTGTCTGTGGGCTACTTGTCTGCATTTGTGATGATGAGAAAAACATTTTTTGGACCTAGGTAATAAAAGAAAATCTAAGGGCACATGAGCTTGTTGTGATTCCTTCTTGCTCACCCCAAGAGGCATTGACTCTTTCTGCATCTCCCATGAGGGCCTGGGCAAGACCTGATTCTGTCCCCAGCCAATCTCAGGAGCAGGAGAAGAAGGAAAGGTGACAAAAGCTAAAATTCTTGCTCTGAATTTTCTAGGTGGCAACCAGGTCTTGTATCTAGAAATAGACAGATGTGGCCCATAGTCCACCAGGGCAGAGCAAATTCGGGTTAGAATAAATGGAGAGGGTAGTGTCATGAGATCTGTTCTTAAGTCTCAGGTTCTCTATCCTTCAACAGATGAACAGGTAAAGAAAATGGTGGTGTATATATACACAATGGAATATTACTTAGCCATAAAGAAGAACTGGAGACTATTTTGCTAAGAATAATAAGCCAGTCCCCCAAATCAAAGGCTGAATGTTCTCTCTGATATGTGGATGCTAACCCACAACAAGGAAGAATTAATCAGACATAGCTTTCCTAGCCTTGTATTTGAATACACCACCACAAGAATAGGCTCCTGATTAGAATAAGTCATGCTCCATGTATGTATAATATGGTAAAAGATACTCTACTGTCATGTGTATCTAAAAAAGAATAAATAAAAAAGGGAGAGAGGTCTGCTCTTGCCAGCTCCACCACTTCATGCCTTGTGTTTCAGTTTTCACAGGTGTAAGATGGGGTTCATGACTGCTGCCTTGCTTACCTCACAGTGTTTTTGTGAGGATTCAGTGAAATATAAGAGCACAGAGACRACAGCAATACTCACACTAATAGTGACTAGTAACACTAATTGAGCATCAACGGTGTGCCCTGCGTGCATGGATGTTACATGTTTGGCTCCCAACAAAACCCTGTAAGACAGCTCATCTAGCCCAACTGGGTGGATGAGGAAATGGGAACTCGGGAAGATTCAGCAGATTGAGATGACAGTGCTGGTGAAGAGCCAAAGCAGGATGCCTTGTGCTCAGAGCGATTACAACATCAAGAGAGGCAGGACAGCCTGAAGGTATGGACCCAGGAGCCAGATAGAGTTTTAATCCCTGCTCTACCACTTACCAACTGTGTGACTTTGACAGAGTTGCTTAACATCTCTGTGCCTTGGCATCCCTTTTGCAATATGGGGATGATCATAAGATCTGCCCCACAGGGTTGTCATGCAGATTACATGAAATATACACAAGGAGCTTAGATGAGTTACTGACACATCATAAACCCTCTCTAAATACCAGCATTTTAAAGTTTTTAAACATGCTTCTATTTAGCAATGGATCTTCCTGCCCAAATGTGGGAAAGAAAGAGGGAACTCAATACTCTTACTTCCCCTATATGTCTTCCTTCAAAACCCCTAGCTCAGTTGTGAGAACCCCACCTAGAATAAGGAGTCCTGTTAGGTGGTGGCATTGCTGGGCAGAGGGAGAGAAAAGCAATTATTTGGCAGTGGGGTGCCTTTGGGTTTTTGAAAAGGAAAACAGCCKGAGTTGGTGGTCTCAAAGCTTGTTTGCTTCCTGGGCTCCAAGAATATGGCAGTTCTGATGCTCAGTTATACCTAAAACTGCCAAGGTGGGTGAAGCAGGTGCCCTAATCCTGGCTGAAAATGGAGAGGATTTTTGCTTAATGTTTATTATGATTTAAATAATCATTTACAGATGCAAATGAATGGCAATATCTCCCTGCATTTGGTATCACCCTGGAGTGTGCTATTTATTCGGTTAAGTAAATCCTGCTGGAGACAAATTYCAGGTACTCTGGAAACCGAGTCCAGTGCTCCCAGAGCCCTGGTACTCCCCAGAGCACCTGCCTTCTTTCTTGGATCGGCCTCTCAGGAGGGAGACCTCACCAGCCCTCTGTACCCACACCCGGTGCCTAAACAACATTAGCTCATGGGATGCTGGCACCTCTGCGCACATCCACAAATGTCATGCTCTAACTCCAGCACCTGGTGGTCTTTCTGACGACCATCCGCTGGATGTTGGGCTGTCACTCAGAATCACAGACTTATTGAGGAGCAGCGAGTGCTTTGTTAGGCAGGTGGGCAGTGTGACTCCAGGGGGAGCCCCTCCCAGGCTCAGAACGTCCCAGGAGAGGAGCCCTCCCCGCCTACTACCTGCCAGGCTCACTTTTGTCCTGGGACCCTCCTCACTTGGGTGCCTCCAACTTCTTCCGCCTCAGGGCACCTGTCTGGGGACACAGCATATCCAAGCTGATCTACAGGCCAAAGGCTGACAACTTGCATGCCGCTAGCAGAGGGAAGTGGACACTTTCATTGGGAAGAACTTGAAGACCCTGTCCACGTCCCTCCCCAGTGGGGGACAGAGCTTAATCCCAGGGCTTCTCAGCCAGCCCCTGCCCTCCTCGCGACCTCTTGCACCCCAAGCCCCCTGGATGACTCTGGGGTCRTGGAGGAAAGTTCATGGCCCTTGCCTGCTGCCTCCTCTCTCCCACGGGGCGTTTTCCTCCCTCCTTGGGGCTGCGACTCATTCTCTACAGCCAGCTGGTCTCCCCTTCTTTTTTTCACCTTTTCTCTCTTTCCCAACTTTCCCTCAGCTCAAGTTGTGTGTGAGAGGAAGAAGGAGAATCACTGGTGGCTGAGGAATGAGATCATTTCTCTCCCCTCTGAGCCGGGGTGACACCAGCTTGCTCTGCAGAGAGCCATCTGGCTCCACCAGGCTCACGCTGATGCTAATCTCTGGGTTCTTTTTCTTTCTTTCTTTCTTTTGTTTTGTTTTGTTTTTGTTTGTTTGTTCCTGAGACACACTGCATCTGCAGCTGTAAATTCAGACCTGGTCCCTGTGAAGGCGGGTGTTCATTTGGCCTAAGTGTCTGTTCCCCCATTATGCCCCTCCCCCATCCCACTGCCAGCCCCCACTTCCCTCTTGTAGGTGTCAGGAAGCCATTGTTACCATCGGTGGGTCTATGTGGTTTTAATGTCAGGGCTGCACTTTCAAATGGAAATCAGGCAATTATGTGCCACATKGAGAAATCTGACAGATGCAGAGGTTTTACACCACTGGTCTTGTCTCAGGGACAAAGGCACCCGGTGTTCCCGAGGGACCGTTAAATAAATAGAATATGTTTCAAGAGCCATGGAAAAATTCAGGAATAATTAACTGTGTGATGAGAGTTCATAGATCCTGTGGCTATTCAACTTCAGAATGTGATAATGATATGTCGACCAGCCACTTAGCTCATCCTGGTAAAGCCGGCATGAGGAAAACGATTACAATGTGCATTGAAACAGAGGCAGCGGCSGCTCTGGGCATCTGCTTTCTGGGCTCCAAATACAAACTGTCACCCCCACACACACAGGGGCCCCACCAGGTGTGAGGATAGGAGGGATGCTAGCAGGTACTAGATGGAGCGCCTCATGTCTATATTTGGTGCTCTCGTTAGTGATCTGTATAGATTAGTGGTCTCTACTACCCCTGGTGATATATCCCCATGGGCTACTTATTTCTGGTGCCGGGTTGAAGCCCAGAACCTCATGCATGCTAGGCAAGCTCGGTCACTGAGCCATACCCCAGCCCTTCACTGTGACTACTATTAATTGACACTCTTAGGTGTCAAGTGCCCAGCTAAGTACTCTCTACACTGGCCTTCGGCAGTCCTGTGAGAGTGGAGTAGGTAGTTATTATCCACATTTCACAGGGGAAAAATTGAGGCTCGGGGGTAAGTGGAAGAACTGACCTTCAGACCTAGTCCTGCTCAATTCTGGCYTTGGCTCTCGACCACTGGCTGGAGCCCCATCTGATGTTCCATTGGAGAGTAGGAAGAAAGACACCTACTGACTTGCACACCCTTTTTGAAGCACCTCACACAGATCACCGGAGTGAACTAAACAGGAGAAACCTAAAGAAGAGTTCAAACGTTTTCCCTAAATTACCCCAATTTTTGTTTAAACAATTGGTTAGTTTGGAGCCTGAACCATACTATAAGATCCGTTCCTTAATGTGTCCAAAACCGAGTTTAACTTTTACCCAAAATCAAAGTGTCCCTAACTACTGGTGGTTGCTCTCTTGTGTCATGGAGGAAATTCGCAGGGAGCAGACTTTTTTCTGTTTGGATTTCAGCAGTCCCTGGGGTTCGCCACTGAGTCTCCGACTTGGGCTTCACCAAAGCTGAGGCCAGTTAGAATTGAGGGGGAAAAAAAAAGGAAGACACTGTATCTCTCAGAGAA